TTATACACTGAATCCCTTGGAGACCACAAGCACTGTTAAGTTTTTTGCTCTTGTACCCTTAGCTCCTAGCCTAGTGTCTTATCGCTAATCAGTGCTGAAAAAATGCTGTAGAGATTGGATTAAATTAGATTGGATCGGATGAAACATTGGGTAAAGGCTGAAAGATTAAGGGTCATTTTATCGATGAGCTTTGCCTACCGTGTGTCAGGAGCTGTACTGAGTAGTTGGAGGGTGCAGTGGGTAGAGAGGCCCAGCTGAACCTGGATTTGGGAAGACCTGAATTCGAATCCAGACTCAGACAATTATTAGCTGCATGATTCTCATGGCAAGTCATTTTGCCTTCATCTGCCTCAGTTTCCTCACCTGTAAAATGGGAATAATAATGGCACCTCCCTCTCGGGGTTGTTGTGAGGCTCAAATGAGATAGCATTTGTTAAGCACTTTATAAACCTTAGGACTCTATCAGTGCTGACATTTATTAGTGATTTTTAGGGGCAGGGATGTCTCTGATCACCTCCCGGTGGGGGAAAAGTAATAGAGCTGGAGGTAAATACAAAGACCGATTCTAAAAATGGCTCTGAGGCAGCGGTGGGGTGGTGGGGGGCCCAGCAGTTTAGGGGACCCAGAAAGGCCGCATTAGGAGAAGGGGATGCTCGACGGAGGCCAGGAAGCAGGGCGCACTGGGCGCCCGTGGGACAGTTGAGGCTGGCTACAGACGTCAGCCTTTGCTCACTCAGCCTCTGCTACTGTTTCATTTCATTCCGCACACATGGCAGCGCACCTCCCATTTGCCCTGGCTGCCCGCTGCCCCGCCCGGAGGCCCCCTACTCCTCAGCTGAGCCTCTGGGCTTCCTACGAGTCCCAGATAAAAGGCCGCCTTCTGCAGGGTCTTTGGCAGCTGTCCATCTCTGGGCCTTCCCTCCGTGATCATATCCCATTTGTCTCGTCTGTATCTGGCTTGGCCGTCCGTGGCTGGCACGTTGTCTCCCCCAGTAGAAGGTGAGAGCCTCAAGCCAAGGTCTTCTTTTGCTTCTTTTCGGTTCCCGGGCACTCAGCCTACTGCCCGGCACATGGCGGATGAATGCTTGTTGACTAGCCCCAAGATGGTATAATCTCCCTGGGTCCAGGGCTAGAGGTGCCTCAGGTCTGAGCTGTGGAGCCAGATGCTTCCGACTCTTCAGGGAAGGCGCATTACGACGTAATATGAATTAGACAGAAGCCCTGGTCCCCGCTGCCTCCCTCCCTAGCCACCTTTTTGGGGAAAGCCAGGAAAAAGAGGAAATTCAAGGCTGTGAATGTCAGTCTTGATCAATGGTGAGTTTGGGGCTGGGGGATGGGGGGAGGTTTCGTCCTTTGTATCTGACTCGGCATGTCCTTGGGGACATTTGCCCGATGTCAAGGCCAGAGACAGCACGTCTGATCATGAAGAGAACAGGCAAAGTGGACAGACGGGTGTGAATCCCACCCTGCAAAGCACTGCCTCCTGACCCCTTTACCTTCTATTGGAGGCACCTGGGGCAGGGAGGCTGCCCTCCCAGGGCTCATTGCTCAGGCCTGGAAACCTCAGCAGCCTGGATTGGGGGAGGGGCTTTTGGGGATGTGAATTTGGGGCTCGGTTATCTTCTCTAAGCCCCCGCTCCCTGTCTCTTGGCTGTGCTGGCCCCAGCAAGTCGTCAGGCTTCCTTAGCCGGAAGACGCCAGAGGGAGGCTTATGTAAGATCCCGGGAGGAAGCTGGTCGGTCCTTTGCTTCGGTTTTGCTTTCTAAAGGGTTGCTTTGTTTACAGCCGGTTTTGACTAGATTTCCTATCTTCTCATTTGTAAGGGACTGGGACGAAGCCGTGTGATGGAGTTCTGCCTCATCCAACTGGTTCTCCCTGTGCATCCCCTGGAAATGGCCAGGGCAAGGCCAGGCCCCCCGGGGAGTGGGAGCCCTGAAAGGTGCCTCAGAGCTGGCAGTCCCAGGGGTAAATCTAGCGCTTTGATGCCCGTAGCCGGTTTCCATTGTAGGCCCTCGGTACTCCTCAGTGGGCGTGTGTTTTCCACAGTTGATTCATCCACACCCCCAACCCCCTTCAGTAACTAGAAAGTGGGGCCTGACAGCTCACTGCTGGGTGGAGGGGAAAAGGAGGTGAGAAATGTGCTCACTTCCCAATTTAGCCCAGGAAATGAGCTGAAGATCTGTCTATTCTCAGCCAGGACTTAGAGCTGGTGAGGGCCGCCCTCCCCACCTAAGATGCTCTTCCCATGAGCCCATCCTACAGCCCAGAGTCCTGAGAAATGAAGCCAGCAAGGCCACCAGGCCTACCTCAGACCCCTGAGACAAGCAAAGCCCAAGAGGTGGGCAGTCCTCAGTTCTAATGCTTGACAGCTTGGCCCTCGACCCTTCACCAGCATCTGCTAAGAGCCTGCTCTGTGCCTGGCCCTGGCCCTGGCCCTGGTCCTGTGGATACAAAGACAGAAACCTTACAATCCTGCTAGCCTGGTCTTCAAGGCTCTCCACAGTCTAGCACGATCTCACCTGTTTTTGTGCATTGATGTATTGAACGTCTACCTGGCTCTCTTATTACACGAGGAGTGTTCTCATTTGTAATACGGAGAAGATAAGATTCTCCCTGTGTCCTTCACAGGCTGTGGGAGGAGGGAAGCTCTTTGTAAGCCTCACAGCTTGCAGAGAAATGGGGTGGGGGGAGGCTGAGGGTTACTTTCGGTCATTTGTGCACCTGTCTGACTGCTGGAATCCAGGGAAATGGGGTGCTTCGTACCTGTAAAGTGCCCTCCAAATGGGGAGTGTGCACGTGGTCATGCTGAGGGCATCAGCTGAGGGGCAGCTGCATCAGGTTGGGGTGCCCAGCCTAGCAGGGATCAGTGGAATCCAGGCACTTAGGAGGAGTTTTTAATGAGCTCTGGGGGTGGGGCAAGCATGCTTTTTCTTTGGGGGGGCAGATAGGACCCAGCAGGTGTTCTTGGTCTGAAGAGAAAGGGGGAAGGGGAACTATGGAGTGGAGCCATTTCCTTGTCTCTAATCGAGGGGGGCCCTAGGTGACCTCCAAACACTCTTTCAACCTTGACATTCTGGGATTTTGTGAAAACCACCAAGAATGCACACTGCTTGTTTGGTTAACTCCCTATGTGCCTCACCTCAGCTTCCATCGATCTGACCCAAAATGAACAGAATCAGATTGGTGACCATTTCTAAGCAATTCCCTATTTCTCGATCCAGAGTGTAAACAGCAGAGCACAGAACAGGAGTCACTGGGCTTGGGTTCAAATTCTGACTCCCTGGGCTGTCCCTAAAATGAGGGCATTGGGCTCCAACTCTGAAGTCCCTCCTAGGTCTAAAATAGAAAACCCAACTGAGCCTCTAATGATTTTGGGGAAAGGGCTTCTGAGGCCTCCCGGGCCCCTCCCCCATCGCCTTCTGAATCTGAGGAAGTTAAGGCCCAGAGCAGGCAGTGACTGGAGCTTGAAGGAGGCCTGGCTAGGCCTAGTCTGAATGACCCGGGGTGGGGAGCACAGAAGAGATTTTGTGCAGGCATAGCCTGGACCAGAAGCCCATAGCTGGGCTTCCTTCCCCCTGGGTTCTGTGATTCCAGTGGCTCATGGGAAATAAGGCTGATGGGCCCCCACAGCCTTCTCAAGCCTGGGCCTGGCCATTCGGGGCCCTGCAGACCAGGCTTCTTCAGTGAGTGGGACTCAGGAGGGATGCATCTGCTGGGCAGAAGGACCGAGCGACATTGGGTGGGTTGGACGTGTGCCGGGCTCATGGCCCAGGATAATGCTCTGGTCTTCGAGAGAGAGGATACTTGTGCAGGTGAGGGTGGGGCCCCTCTGGCCTTGGAATCCTCTCGGGCCCCTGGACCTCCTCAGTCTCTGACTCCTGGAGCCCTGTCCTCCAGGACGGGTCCAGAATCCACCCCTAGGTGCTTTTCAGTTTCTTCTCAAGTCCCAGGGTCCAGTGGGGCCTTTGGTTTGAAATTTGCAAAAGATTTCATTAGAATGTAAGCTCCCTGAAGGCAGGGGCAACTTCTGTCTAGTCCCAGTACCTGGCCCAAGGTGGCTTTAAATGAGTGATCGTTGATTGGTAATTAAGCAGGATGCCCTTTAAAAGCTCTGAATTAAGGCCAACGACCCTGCTACCCAGCCGGTGTTTATATGCCCAATACTCTGATGGATCTGGGGTCTCCTCTGGGTCAATCTTCTTTCTGGAAATGAAGCTAGCCACTCATCTCTGCTGAGACAGCTAAGTGGTATAGTAGATAGGGACCTGGGCCTGGAGTCAGGAAGATCTGAGTTCAAATCCTGCCTCAGATACTTATTAGCTGTGTGACCGTGGGCAAGTCATTGCCTGCCTCAGTTTCCTCAATTGTAAAATGACTATAATAATAGCACCTCCCTCCCAAGGTGGTTGTGAGGATCAAATGAGACAATAATTTTAAAGTTCTTAGCACATAGTAGGTACTATATAAATGTTAGCTGTTATCATTATTATTCGTTATATTATCCGTGAGCTACTCTTGTCTATGCCCTCTTCTTGCGGAGGAATAATTTCTTGGCCTATGGGAATTGAGGCCTGGGTTCAAGCTTCAGCTCTGGTGGGTGACTAGTCTGAGAGAGCCCCTCCGAATGCGTGTCCATACAGAATTAGATCTCTCACCAGGGCAGCCGGGAGGGCTGGGAGATGAGAGAAGCCTAGAATCTCTCTGTGCACAAAATCACGTGTGCATGCGTGTATACGTGCATGTGCATGTGTGTGTACACACATGTGTGCAGGTGTATATGTGTGTGCAAGCGAGTGTGTGTGTGTGTCTGTGTGTGTGTGTCTGCTCACACAGCACTCCTGAAGCCTTCTCCTTCCTCTCAACATCCTGGTTGCTATAGCAGGCCAATGTTATTTGTGCTTTCTCACACACAACGAGCCAACGGTTCGACAAACGCTGCTTCCTGGCCATGCCTGACTTCCTGGGCAATCTGTCCTTCCGGAGACAGCCCGGCAGAAGGAGGCTGCAGGCTCTGCACGGACGGCTGTGGCCCTAGCAGGCTCCTGGAGGGGCGGCGGCCCCTGGCCTCGGTGGGTGCCCCCGGGAGCTGCTTGGTGGCCGGGCACGGCCGGGCCTCCTGTCCCAGGGAGAGGCCTCAGGGTGGGGGCTGTGCACAGGCAGAGACATCTCAGGCACCTCAACCCCCAGTGAAAACAGGAAGTGATGGAACAGGACCTCCCCGCTCATGTTCCGTTTGTCTTCCGTTCTTCCTCAGGCGCGGGGACTTTCGGACCCGGCTAGCATCGACACCTCTTCTTGCTGGCCCAGCAAGCCCGGGGCAGGGACCATGCCGCCCCCCGCAGACATCGTGAAGGTGGCCATCGAGTGCCCGGGGGCCTTCCCCAAACTGATGGAGATTGACCAAGTAAGTCAGCCCGGCCTCTGGAGGGCATCCCCGAGCCCGGCTCGCGGCCACTTTCCTTCCTGCGTGGGCGCTGCCAAGCACTCTGTCCTCCTTTCTCTCCAGGTCTGGGACGAAGATTTGGATGGCTTGTGGCCTCCGTGTCCTAGGACCAGAGGGGAAGGCGCGGGGATGGGGTGGGGCAGCTCAAGATCATTTCCCCTGACGACCATTTCTAAGGCCGTTAAAGAGCAGAGTCTGGGGGAGGAACAGAATCTCCTTGGGTCTGACCTCATCCAAGATCCCTTGTGTGACCTCATTGATAGAGGGAGCCTCCCTCCACCCAAGTGGCCTCAGAGAACCCGCTGGGCCCTGGGGGGTGGGACAAGGGGTCTTTCTGAGAGATTGGGAGGCCAGCCTTGTGCTTTGGCCATGAGCCACTCTGCCCTCCCTCATGTTTTCAAATGGCAACACGGTGTCCGGCGCACAGAGGGTTCTCTCTGAAGTCACAGGACCTGGGTTCAGATCCTGTCTTGGTCACTAATTCACTGTGCAATCTGAGGAAAGTCTCTTCCCCTTTCTTGGCCTCAGTTTTCTTTTTCGTAAGATTGGGGAGTGGGGCTAAGGTCCCTTCCGCTGTTTGTCTGCTCCCGTGCTCTGACACAGATCTGAATGCTTAGTAAGGTGGGACCGCACCCCAGGGACTTTCCTTGTTTCTTGTTAGACCACAGCTTTGCCTCAAAGTGAGAGGTGTTCCAGTTTCCTAAGTTAGTGCAGCCTCCCCAGGGGTGAGACCCCTCCCTCAGCTCCTTTCCCAGGGCTCCTGAGGGGGCTGCTGGGGAGCAGGACCCAGCACAGCCCTGCCTCCGTTGCCTTCTCCTTAGCAAGGCAAGGGCAGCATTCTCTCTCAGCATCATCCTGATGGTGCCATAGCAACCCCAGCCTCTGAGGCCGAGTTCTTCCACTTAAGTGTTCTCTGAGTGGTTTGGTTTTTTTTTAATTGCTTTTCAAGTCAGGCTTTATTGCTTCTGGCCTAGAGCTATGATCTTGCAGGATTTACTGGGCAAGAAGTGGGGACACGGTGATCTCATGGCTGGTCTAGGGGCTGGGAAGAAAGGGGAGGAAACATGGCCAGGGTTCATCTTGAAAAGAACCTTGGCTGCATGCATCAGCATCCTGGTCCAGGGAGCTCTCCTTTTTGGAAGGAGGCCCTGTAAACAGAGACTGGCGTTTTTCTGTATGTGTGGGCCCATAGCAGACAAGGCGCAATGTGACTTTGTTTCTCTAAAAAAAAAAGATTTTTTTTCAATTAACCAATGTCTGGCATGTAACTTTCCTTGTCTGGAGGGGATGCTTGCTGGCCAAGAGATCGTGGGGACAGTCATTCATCTCAAAATCTCCAGATTCAGATGCGCTCATGGAGAAGCAGCTGCGGGGAGACCAGGGACATCTGCTAGGTCAGAGCCTGGATGCAGGAGGAGACCGGGGTTTATCCGAGCTGAGACTGGACAGGTAGAGGGACTGGCTGTGGCTGCCTTCAATTGTCTTCTCTTCCCTGGAAAAAGAATAATGACGCCTCCAGTAGCTAGCCTCTCAGACATAGGGTTTTTGGGGAAATCGGGTCCTGGTGCTACCTGGGCATGTGCGTGAGAAAGGAGTGTCTGAAACGGGAAGAGATGTTTAATGGTCGATGGTGTTTATGAAGCCAGAGTGTGCAGGCTGCAGGATCATCGTAACAGATGGTGTGCACAGAGAACTCTGTGTCTGCAGGAATTTAATTATGGCCACATGAAAGTGGGCTTTAATTAAGGAAGTCCCAGAATTACAACCATCAGAATGATAGCCGCCTGGGCAGAGGTGGACCTAGGAATGAGCTACCAGGGCCTTGCCCCGGGGTGACTAAGTCCATGGGGTGCTGACACAGAGGCTGTGTGTGTTCCTTCACTAGCATGGAAACCAGTGAGCTCACCACCTACATATTTAGTGTAATTAGTTTAAATAGGAGGCCTCCGCATGGCACACTTTCTTAGCCCAGCTCCCACCTGCCAGGTGAGCGCTCCCTGCTCAGAGAAGAAGTGTCCCTGTGTCTGGGGGTCTTTGCCCAGAGGGGCTCCTGTCTAGTGGGCGGATTGGAAGGCCTGGTTGCCTTCTTAAAGCTTGGTTCTTGCATTAACAATGCTGATTGTGGCTCCATGCCAGGGTTTAGCCCTACAAATGTCAGATTTGGGGGGGGGGGAAGGTCCTCTGTAAATTGACCAGATATGTCAGTATCCCATATTATGCCAGCCCTATAACTCTGCTCGATAAATTCAGTTTAATTTAGGACACATTTTTAAAGCACTTTCCCCGAGGGCTGGGTTGTGTACTAATGATACAAACACAAGTCCCTGTCCTCAAGGCGCTTACCTTCAGATGGTGGAAGGCAGCAACATACAGGGAAGATGATGGCCTGGGAAGCTCCCTAGTGTCTCAGAGACAGATTGAGGGACTGATTGATAGAGGAATTTAAGTTTGAAAAAACGCTTTACATCCTCTCCTTTGATTCTGGAAGCACTCCTGTGGGGTGGGTACTGCAGGCATTATTATCCCCACTTTACAGATGAGGGAAGTAAAGCCCAGGCTGGTTGAGTTGACTTGCCCAGGGTCACTCAGATAGTAAGCTTAGGTTTTGAGCCCACACCTTTGTGTTTCCAGAACAACTTGATTTCAAACATTTGGTCAAAACCCCAGAAAACCCAACTCTGTGCCTCATGAGGGTGTGCCTAGAAGCTGCTCAAGTGAAAACAGAAGGTTGTCACTGAGTTGTTGTTATTGAATTGTTTCAGTTGGGCCTAACTCTCTGTGACCCCATTTGGGGTTTTGTTGGCAAAGACTCTGGAGTGGCTGGCCATTTCCTTTCCCAGCTCATTTTATAGATGAAGAAACTGAGGCAATCAGGGTGAAGTGACTTGCCCAGGGTCACCCAGCTGGGCAGTGTCTGAGGCCAGATTTGAACCTGGGGAGCTGAGTCTTCCCGACTCCAGGCCCTGTGCTCCATCCACTCACAGCAGCTGTGAATTTGTTTTTGAGGCAGTTCTTGGAAACAAACGCCAGGCCCATGGTCACAGCCACCCTCTGGATGTTGTTAGAACCAGTGTGAGTGGGCAGTGTGACTGTCTATCATCAGCAGTCCATCAAGAACTGCCTTGTGCTTGGGGACCACATGTGGGAAAGCCCTGCTCACCATTGAATTTAGAGGCAGGGCCTAACCCCCATTCGCTGTCTGGTTCTTTCTTATTTCTCTTGAAATATTTGGGAAACAGGGCTTTGTCCTTGCAGGAGGGAAAGACCCTGAAGAGCTATTTTAAAAGAGGTTTGCTAGTGGTTTCCAGCTTTCAGGTCATTCTTTGCCCATCCTTCTGACAGATGTTTTTGTCTGTACTTATCCATTCCAGTTCAACCTTGGGGAGTCCCTTTGTGTAGTGAAACTACGGGGTTTTTTGATGTCCCAAATGTTCTCTTTGCTTTGGATCTAGTTGTTGACTGAACACCATTTCTCCCAGCTGAGAGGAGAGAAAGCAGAGTGTTTTAGATGAAAGTCATGTGGTGGCTTTGCTTATATCTGCCAAGAGAGCGAACAAGCTAATGGCTGGTGAAGAAGGAGGAGAGACACTGTCCTTTTCCATCATTTTACTGATGCCTTTGGGTTTCCATCTGAGTCATTTTCATATCTAGCCCTCCCCAAA